AACAACAACAACAACAGCAACAGCAACAGCAACAGCAACAACAGCAACAACAACAATAACATTATTGATTTGCATGAATAGCCAGTGCATAATGGTTTGATGTCACCTGGAACAGTTGCAGGATTATTTATACAGGAGATAATCAATCTATGGAATTCATTAGCACAAGTTCTGATTGTGGCTACTAACCTGAATAGCTTTAAAGGGAGATGGGGATAGGCCTATAAAGGGCTAAGTCTTGAAGATTTTGTCTTAGCTCTGGGTTGGATGCAGTATGTCTCCAAATGTCACTTGCAATAGATCAATGGCGGGAGAGGGATATGTCTCCATCTCCTGCTGGTGAGCACCACAGAGTCATCTGGTTAGCCATTGTAAGAAACAAAATGCTGGGTTTTGGTAAGATCCAACAAGCCTGCTATTATGTATTCTGTTTTTAGTTGTAGTGGCCTTTTGGGGAGTTCTATATGCAATTCATTTTGTAATTACCATACGAACAAAAATCTCTCTGAAATTATTTCAAAATTCAATAAATTAGCACCATTAGAATTATTAACCTAAAAAAACCAACCAACAATCAACCACCATCATGAAAATAAGTAACTTTTATGCACAAATATGGCAGAACTGATGTTTTTATTCTTGTTAAATTTCATCAGACTGAACAGCCTTAGAACTCCAACATGGAGATCTCTAATTTTTAATCCTCAACACTCAAAAGACTGGCTTTCAAAATCTCAGCTCAAAATTATTTGGCTATTATCTGATTTTATGCCATCAGTTGTAAATCTTAATGCTCTATTATCTTTGTTTAGATATCCTGTTTTAATATAATATATATTTGATACAACTGTCTGATTGGATACAATGGAAAACAGTTTTAAAAACTGGTAGTTAGATTTAATTTAAAATAAAACTGGCCCAGACTTGGACGTGTGATAAAAGTTTTGAAGTGAAAATGTCTAATCATGAATATTTCTATTTTTATAGCAATTTTATTAAAGATTACAATTGCAACAATATTTTTTTTAAAAAAATAGAAGAATAAAAAGAAAAAATAAAAGATGAAGAAATGAAAGAAATAGAAAGAAAAATGGAAAAGAAAGAAAAAATAAGAATACAGTAAAGTAAAAGAAATATATAAAGAAGTGACTTCCCCCTTCATCACAAGTATAAACAATTTTAGTAACTTATCATCTTCTCTTAAAATACAGCAAATGATCTCTTCTTCCTATATCCCATCTCTTATCTATAAACAAATCCATAAAGCCTCATCATTTCAGTCTGATGTCAACAAATGTCCATTAAGGGTTACCAGAGATAACATATCTATTTTAACCCTGATCAAATAAGCCAACCTTATATTGCTTCCTTTTACTTCTAACAATCTGGATCTTTAGTTTCTTCAAATAAATTTCTTTTTACTTTTCTTCATCCCTTCTCAAAAAATTCTTCAAAACTTTAACAAGCCTCTTTTGTAAATTCCATGTAGGAAAATTATTCAGGTCATTCTCTTGATTTGTTATTTGTATATCCCTTTTCATTATGAAGACATCAGGTAGTTTCTTTTGTATGTCCAGTGTTAATCTTTTTCCATGTCATTCTTATAGCCTGTCATTTTTAAATCCACTTTCAAATCAGTCTTGATCTTGACAGGTAAAACTTGTTCCTCTTCCATAACATCTTTTAAACACAGTCTATCTATAGAGATAGACACTATTAAAATTAACTTGTGGGTACATTGTTCAAAAATATCCTTCAATATGTTCAATGTTAAAATATTTGGTTCATTCTGTAATTGTGAGTTCAGTTTTCATGGAGCTGTCTTCAGTCTGCCATTTTTTTCCCATATGTCCTAACCTTGAATATTTCTAGATCTCAACAGAAATGGTCTAACATTAGAAAAAGTCTTTTCAACTATGAAATGGAAGTTAGACTGCTTATTTGTCACTGGAATATGCCTGTTAAGGTTGGAAAAGAATATGTAATGATGAAATATTTCACTTCAAAACGTTTTGTACATCTTTAAACCAGTATTTCTTTTACAAGGGAATGTGCTTATACATATTAAGAGGGACATGTAGATTAAACCAAGAAAAAAATTCATTTTATTTGTGTGATAGGTACTCTCAAGATCTGACTGATTTATTATGTGGCATCAAGTCATTTTCAATTCCCAGTGACCACACAGATAGATTTTCTCCATGATCTCAAGATCTACCAGTCCTCATAACATTTTTTTTTTACTGAAGCTCATATTTTAATTGGATGGATATTCCTAATGATGGCAATAGGAACTTTCTATCCAGTGCTAAGAGAAGCTTGGAGGAACATTTTTTTTCAGAAGTACATCTTCATCTACAACATTCCTAATAATTATCAATCCTTGCTCTATTTCCCTTGTTAAATCATCTATTTTCATGTGGTCAAAAGTAGAAAACTTTGTCATTGTATGTAGATCCAGATCTTTCTATATAAATTGAAATCCCCATCTGAACAATGCCTTTAATAGAAGCAGTCAAAATGGCACAAAATAGTGTGTAAAACTTTTGAGTTTTTCTGAATTCTTCAACAGCCAACAAATTACAAAAAGTGGGAAATGGGGAGAGGTAAGAAAATTCATAACTTAAGGCCAGATGTTTCCTGAGCTTGCAATGAAAAATCAGTCTCAAAATGGATATTATAGAATAAATGTATTTGGTAGCAGTAAATGTCATTAGTGTTAATTTGCATCTAGCTTTCAGGGAGGAAAAAAATTAAACTGGTTTGCTTCCACGGCTCAGAAAATACAAAGGTCAGTAGTTCTTAATTTTTATCTTGTCCACAGGGAGATGAGAGCAGAAATAAATAAACATTTTAGTCTTTATATTAGCAAAGCTGGGAGAAATTTATGTGGTTAGGCCAAATTGCATACTGGTCAGAGGCTTGCAACCTCAAATTGCTTTATCCTGGATTATTGAAAATTTATTCCTTTGCAAACACCCTTTAGTCTGCTACATAAAAAACTACCATAACAGTGTTGTGGTGGGGAGGGGATCCAAAACCCATAGGTGTATAATATCTTTGTTAGGACCAGACAAAGTGGAATTAATCATGCAAGACTGAAAATTCTGCAGAATGCATGTATTTTCATTTCATAAAATGAAATATGGTTGTATTTTTTTCTATAGAATGTAGGTCAAACAGAAAAGTGACAGTCTTAAATGAAAAGTCTGTTTTATAGGCTCTTGGAAGAGTACTGTATATATAGAGTTCTACTTTCACATAATAAAGAAGTCTATATATTTGTACTTTTATTTGTTTCTTTTCTATTCTGCTGAAGCATCACTTTGAGTTATTGTCTAAATTGTTACTTTTCCTTTATAGATTGGCAGATTGCTACCCTTTCTATGCTGTTGGGTGGTGCCGCCATAATTCTTATAGCTTTCTTGGTTGGACTAATTTCTATCTGTGTGGGATCACGGAGGAGGTTCTACAGGCCCGTTGCTGTCATGCTGTTTGCGGCAGGTAAGTTAATTGCTTCTCTAAAATATATACCACATTAGATAGCTGCCACTTTCTCAAAAAATAGAGGTGATGCATATCTTGTAATCCAAAAATAGTATGTTCATTGCCAGAACCTGAACTGCAGACCGTTCAACTTTTGTTTAGACGGCCAAGAAATCCCAAGGTCTTTCAGCTTTTCTCTCCCGGCCATTTCCTCCAATTTATAGTAAGATCTTTCTACCAGTTAAAGTCTGAAGAGCATTCAGTGGCGACTATATGACAGGAGAGTTTTCTGTGCCTATTTTTGCAGCCTAGATGTCATCAGTCCAATCTAAGCATTATAGGAAATAAAACACACATTGTTACTTGATAATAGTAGTATCTTATCTCATCAGTCATTGTTTGCTTTACACTTCTGAGTACATTGTAGGTGATTACAACAGATACCATTCCAGGCCTTTGTAGAAACTTAAGGGACTTTATCTTTCAATATACAGTGTCACTGTTTATATTTTTTTACATTTTATTTTCTTTCTTCTGAAAAGTGTTACGCTTTCCTTAAGCACTAGGTCTTGAAATCATTCATATAAAAATAAATAGGATTAAACTCAAATGTGTTTATATTTTTCCTATGCTCCCCAGGAAGCCTTGCTTTCATTGTGTCAGCTTTGCTTTTGTTATTAATTTCAATAGCCTTCATACTATAAATCCCTTATTTTTCAAAGGATCAAAGGAAAGAGATTATATGAAGAAATATTTTTAAGACTCACATGAAGACTCAAGGATGTTCTCTAATGGAATATGTAACAAAATTATCATTTGATATGGATTTGAATAACCATTAAGTTAGCCAATAATAGAGTTTTCCCTTCCTTCTCGCAAAGTTTTCCAGCCACAGCTTCCTTTCTGTCAATCACATTTTTTCTGAAACTGAAATAGTAAGCTTGTCTGATAGACCATAATAGAGAGCATGACAGACTATCTACTCTGCTAGATGGATTTTAAAAAATCAATTTAAAAGGATGTGGAATCCAAGTTCTTAATATTTCAAGAATGAATATAATTATAAGGAGAAGTATCCTACTGCCCCCTGCTGTTTCCATTATTTTAGTTAAGTCATTTCAGAGGGTAAGGAATACATTGAGGTACCTTTATATTAAAACTCTGTATTTCCAATTTGCAAAACAATTTGCAAGGATTATTTTGATCTTCATTCCATTCACTGGCAGAACACAGTAAGAATTATTTACTGAAAGTGTGTTTTAGTTTATCTGTTTTACTTAAGCATTCCTAAGTATGTTTAAAGTTCTTGAGCTGATTTTGTTCAAGCCTTTGCATCTTATGAGATTTGAAAAAACTCCATATACATATATCTGATAGGACAAGGAGCATGAGAAGAATTCTACTACCCAAAATAGAGGAAAAATTATCTTAAGTAGACTTCTTTCAAGCATTTGATTGATAACACCAATCATTCTAAATGTTCATCAGCTACAAAAGTTATAATAAACAATGCTTGAGAAGCTAGAAAGGAATTTGGCAAAGCCTTTATTTTTCTGGCCTGATAAAAATAAACCATAATCTAATAATTTCACACTTGTTTAGAGTAAAAACTCCTTGCAAAGAGAGGAGAGAGAGAGAGAGAGAAAGAGAGAAGTTGGTTTAGTAATACCAAGAAGATATCTGAACAGCATAGTTAGATTGCTATTTTCTCCTGGTTTAGAAGTCCTGTAGAAAGAAATGAGATTGCCATTAACATTAGGAATTAAAAGTTGCCTACAATAATATAAAAAAATGCTCTGGTGCTTTGAGCTAACTTAGGTTCCTGCTAATAAACATTTAAAAAAACAAGGATTTTTAAAAATGTTTATTCAAATGCCTAAATTCACATTTACCATCAAAGTGTTAATATAAACCTAAAAGTCCAAGAGTTCCTTAAAGCATCCTCAAGAGATGATTGTTCAGTCTTTGACTGTACTCACCCAACAAAGAGAAGCTCACATTTTCTTGACAACTGAGTTAACTGTCCAACTTCTCTTTCCACCAGGATGTTTATCCTAACATTTATCTGTATTTTGTGTTCCTATTACTTAATAATATTTTTCTGTGTCCTGCATTCTGAGATTATAAGAATTTTTGACCTCCTCTTCCTCCTCCTCCTTCTCCTTCTCTTTTGTATGTGTGATCCCCTCTCATGTATTATACCTAAAATTACATGTTCTTTTCTTGCAGCCACGTCATATTCCTGTGATAAACTTTCATTCTAAAATCCTTTTCACATTCACATTTACATTTTATTTCTTTTTCCTAAGTGAAGGACTTTGTATTTGTCTTCATTAATCTTTTCAAACCTATCGATATCATTTTGGATTTTGTTTTAGCTGTATGATATAAAATGTGCCAATATTTTTACTTAATTCAAGTCATTAAGGGTAACTCTGCAGCACCTAATTCAATACACATATATCCACCTACCCCATTTGATGAAGAGACATTGAGAAATACTCTTCAAGTACAATTTTCAGTTTAATGAACCTGCCATCCAGTCCATACTTAACTGGCTTTCCTAATGTCAAGATGTATTATGTCCACAGCATTCCCACAGTGTACAAAAGAAGTTATCCCATCAAAAAATGAAATAAGTTTAGTCTAACAAGATTTGTTCATGATAAAGCCATGTTAACTTTTAGGAATCACTGCACTGATTCCTAAATCACTGCACTACAGAGCAATTGCTTTATGATTTGTTCTAGAATCTTCCCAGATACAGATGCAGATAGTCAGATAATCAGAATGAATGGGTTCTAGTTCACCAAGTCCTTTCTGCTACATCTTTCAAAGATAGGGATCAAACCATCTGGTACTTTACCTAATCTCCCTGATTTCTCAAAGATAATGGATGGACATTTAGACAGACCATCAACAGGTTCTTCAGTACCCTAAAATACATTTCACCTGATCCTGAAGATTTGAATTCATTCATGGTCAGTAGGTATTCCCTAATTATGTCAAGCACAGCTTTTTACTTAATGTTTTGTTTGTGTGTTTTAGCCACATTGCCTTTTTCTCCTGTCTTCTATTATTTTTCTTGTTGATTTTTTTTTGGGGGTGTGTGTGTTACATTATGCTTTTAATGTCTTCTTTATTCCTTCTCACCCATGTTGAGTTTCTTTTCCTCTTAGTCACTCTTGACATGAAATCTACTTATAATACTACTTTTCTCCATCATTTCCACTATTTCTACTTCATCTACTAAGTCTTCCCTATGGGTTAGTATTAAGAGAAAAATAACTGATAGCCTTGTGCCTTTCTCCACTCTATGAAGGAAAAGAATTTCAGCAAGATAGCTCATGAATTTCTAAAAAGCTCATGCTTGGTATAGCTTCTCTCCCAACATATCTTGGAATAATTAAAGTCTGCCATCACTACTACTTCATGACTCTTTGAAAGTTCTAGAGTTTGTTTTTGGAAAACATCATCCATACTTTTCCCTTGGTTGGAGGGTTGCTATATTTAACAAGATTTAACCCCTTTTAACAGGAATGTAGGTATTATTAGTTGTCAGTATATATAGAAAATTAATAAAATTAGCCCAAAATTAAGCCCATAATGGATTAATGTAGAGGTATAACCAAACACATATTATAAATGATCAGTATCATTTAGTCAAATTTAGTCAAAATGGACATTTAAAGAATATAAATATCTACACATTTTCATTATTAATCTTCTGAAAAAATTGTTTAAAATTGTTTGGTTTCTAAGCAATATTCCATATTTTAATTAAATAATTCAGATTAAAGTAATGGAAGTTATATGCTTTTTCTACCTATATTTATCTCCCCAATATTTTATGTACAATTTAATTATATACACAGTTCCATATGAATTGTATTGTAACTAACTACTAGTTAATATTCATTATAAGAAGTCATATGTAATAAATAACCTTCTCTTGATTATATTACTTCATTAACTTCTCCATTATAATCTGTTTATAGAAACCATTACTTTTGTCACCTGTGTTCTTGGCAATTATCATAAAAGTCTGAATGATACAAACAGAAAAAGAATAATGGAAGGGAGACAGAGATCGTTCTATAGAATCCCCACATATGCTATTTTGTTCTAATAACATATGATTTTACATATGCTGCTGAATTTTTCAGTTGACATATTCTTTGTGAATTAAACATGACTCATTGTGGTAATCTAACTTAGGTGTTACTGAGTATTGGCTAAGTAAAATTTAGATTGTACATTACTTTGAAATGAAGCTGTCATTCTACCGGGATTCCTATGCAATGTTTTCGAAAATAATGAGTGCTGCTTGTATTAGTTTTATTATTTCAATAAGACTTGTCTCATAAAGAAGAGGTGAAAGTAACCAGCTACATTTCTTGAATTGTGTCATTTCAAATGGTAGGTGAAAGAATGAATAATGGAATATTTGTCCCCATCAAAATTCAACAGCAACATATGGGTTTTTAGGGGGAGGACAAGGCTTTTGGTCCATACATCACTGCATCCTTTTTGAAGAGTTTTTAATTGCTATGTTGAAATTATTTTAACGTGTTTTTAATCTCTCTCTCTCTCTCTCTTTCTCTCTCTCATCTGCTGTGTAGTATTTTTATGGTAGGGCCGAAATCTCCTGTTCCTTTCATTGATTAATTAATGAGATTTTTTTTGCAGTATTATAGGTGTCAGTTTACATATGATATGATATAGAAGATGGATACATTTCTTCCTTTTAATAACAACAAATGTTCTGGTCATTGAAGCCCACAAGGTCTGCTTTTTACCTAAGCTATTTGGTGGTGCTATTTCATGAGACCACATCAATTCTTTTGGTTACCTGAGATGAAAATATAGTTAATCAACAACCACTGCTTGGAGTGTTTGAAAACAATTTAATGTCAAAACAAGGAGCAGAAATTACCCTCTTGCTGTTTATGTACAAACATGTCCCACTTGAGAAAGACTCCTCATATTTGCAAGTTCTAAAGATGATTACGGGGGGGGGGGGGGGGGAAAATCAGCATCCCTCTCTGCCATAATCAATGAAAATGCAGGGATAAAAATATTTTAGTAAATTAACATATTAAAAAGGAAAAAGAAACACACACACACAAAAAGAAAAAAGGAATGGAAGAGGACTCCCATGTAGTATGCAATGATATTTTAATTTGAAGCCTAATGCATTTGGAGCATAGATTTTTTTTTTCCCTGGATGGTCATTTTGAACAAATAAGAGCCACTAAAGGACATCCTTGTCTGAAATACACAGTGCCATGTATTAAAATATCATTTGCATGTAGCACTTGGTGTACTTTTGTATTAAAATATCATTTGCATGTAGCACTTGGTGTACTTTTGTATTAAAATATCATTTGCATGTAGCACTTGGTGTACTTTCCACTTTTTTTGGCAGGGAGAGTTATATTTGCAAAAGTGGGTACCACATTAACTGCTTTATGTGTTTACTTTTCCTCACTTTCTGAAAGTTATAAGAATCTAGTCTCTATTATTATTAGTATTAATTTAGCCAATAAATTCCTATCTATTGTTTTCTTTGTTAATAAAAACAGAATAAGTAGCATATACAACTTAGTAAGTAAAACTGCAGATCTTTCCATTCATTAGGATTTTTTCATATCCAAATTAAGGATGTTCAAAGTATGCATTGCCCTAGTCCTCAGTACTCTTCAATAAACAGAATTGTATATTTTTGTATTGAGCATGAATAAATTCTAGTGCTGTATGGATGTTTATATCCATAAACTATCCATATCTACCTCATATCTGAGCTTTTTATATCCAACATTCCCTAAAATACATTCTTCTATGCCTGCAGTTCTTCCCAAATATAAACTGGTTTCATATACAGACTTTACAAAAACCTATAGTTTCACAAATGATTCTCAGCTAAGAATGACATATGCTAATATATTTCATTGCTGGTGACAAAACAACTTTGCTGAGTTTGTAGAAAAAAAATTCCTGATTTGGAGCATTGAAACACAGGATTATTAATTCAGTCCAGGAGGGGGCATGTGTTACTTCTAAATAAGAAGTGGGCTAACACTTATAGAAAGTTCTATCAAAATGTGTCCTGGAGATTCAGTGTTGTTTTTCTACTAGATAATTGAGACACGTTATACCTGACTCCCCCTCTCCCCCCCTTTTTTTTTCCAGTGGTTCTTCAGGTGTGCAGTCTCGTCCTTTACCCGATCAAGTTCATTGAAACTGTCAACTTAAGAATATACCATGAGTTCAACTGGGGCTATGGCCTGGCTTGGGGTGCAACTATATTTTCCTTTGGGGGTGCCATACTTTATTGTCTGAACCCTAAGAACTATGAAGACTACTACTAAAGGAAACTTCTTTTGTAAGGAAAGGAATAAAACAAGGAATGTCC